CCCCAGAGGCCGAATCGGGGCTCCGATGGCTCTGCGCGCGCGCGCTCGCTTGCCGCCGCGAGGAGTGGAGACGGAGTGCGGGAGGGGTTTGATGATGATCTGAGCTTCCTGGGGTGAGCTCGAGATTGGGGGATTAGGGGAGGGAGGAGTGGAGGAGGGAGGGGATTTGATTTGACCCGATGGATGAACAGGAGAGGGGAGAATGGGGAGTCAGATCGGGTCGTGGTTTGGTTGGCTCAAACTCAAACCCGAATGCACGACGAGTTAGTTGATTGTTCTCTTCTTCTTGTTGTTGGGAAGGTTGCTTGGCTAACTACTCCTCTACACGATAACCTGGCCCGCATTGTATTATTGTTAGCCTTGATTGATTGATTAAATTTAATAGAGTAGGTTATTATGGAATGTGCTTTTCCTTTCCTTTTTCTTTCTTGAACGTGCTTCACAAAGCTAGAGGTTCATTATTTGTGTGTTTGTAGCTATTCCTACCAAAAAGTTTTATATCATCCTCGTCGTATCTCTTCCATATATGAAACACAAAATATTGAACAGTAATCATATAGGGCGCATGTTCGGTGTGTAGCCTGGGTGCGCAACGAAGCCGTCAAACAGCCCTCGCGGCTTTCTGTTCATGAAGATGTCAAGACATAAACGCGAGAACGCGTCAGGATCTGCGGAGGTCGCACGCTCTAGTGATCACACCGAATTGCAACCCAACATTGAATATATGAGCAATTTGTCATAAATAAAGTAGATAAACCATGAAATATTGTTAACAATCCTTTTTTGGAGGGCGAGGAAACTTTCAATCTATTCATCTACTGTCAAGGCGGTACAAAAGAACACCAGATATTACATCCAGGTCCGTAGACCACCTAGCGACAACTACAGGCACTGTGGCTAACCGAAGGCACCCCGCCGTCATCGCACCTCCCTCTCCCGAGCTGAGCAAACCTTGTTGTAGTATACAGTCGGAAAGTCATTATACTAAGCCCCCACGAAACCAGCACACTAGGAC